AGACGACAATTCTTGTTACATATGGTAACGCTAGCTAATATTGTTGTTTTGACTTCATGAATGAGAAACATCGGTGGCCAAAGGTTTTTGAGTAGAAGGGAGCCGAGCTTGCGTTCACATTGTCTAGACTATTTGTTTTTTACCTAGGCCTGAACCTTAAGGACATCTTAAGACTGGTGCCTACTTTGACGAGAGAAGTAAAAGGGACTTCACCTTGAGAGTTGAATCCCAGTTACAGTATGAAGGAAAAAAAGGGGTAGCTTGTGCTTAGAACCTCACGAGTATATCAATCAAAATTTTGTGTGGTGTCCATTTAGTTGGCTTGATGGTGGTCAATAATGAAAGCTTGAAGTTCCCTTGTTACCAGTATTCCTTTAGTTTTGATTATGACGCGTGCAGATTCTTCAGAAAAACCATATATGCAAGTAAACACCGTTCCACTACACCTCTGTTTGGGGAATTTGACAAAGTTCAGCTGGAAGTGGTTGTATGTAATTTACATGAATATTTATCTTTTAATGCATGTCTCCTTTCACCATGTCCAAAAATACAAGCAGATGGTGGTGCTAAATTGTTATCTGAGATGAGGGTAGCAACACACTACCTTGTGTTGCAAGTAGAACTCTCATCGAACAAAGAGGAAAGTTCAGAAATTGTGTTGTTTCTCATATTGTTATTTAACCATAAATATGTTCTGGCCTTTGTATATTTTTCTACTACCACACACTACCCAGAAGAAGGGAAATCTAAAAAATTTGGGAGAAGTTCGCACAGTTCACACCAAGTCTGATTAGTTCATTTTGATTGTCTGCATTTGAAAGTATTTCCCATTAACTAAGGTTATCTAAGTTGCAACTGTGGCATTCCATGCTCTAGTCATATACAAATGTATACCTTTTCCCAATTAGTTGATGCTATCTCTAAATTTGTGGTTTCAGGTCCCCAAGGACCACAGCTGCAGAAAGTGCTGGAAAGACTTACTGGACAGCATACGGTTCCCAATGTATTCATTGGTAAGAAATGTCGTATTGTGGAGTTGTTGACCTTTACAAGTTTTTGGAATATGACAACAGGTTCTTGGAGCTTATTTATTTCCTGGTTATATAATTCTTAACGTAATAAGCAGATAATTTGCTTCCATAATGAAAACAAACTTCTTTATGTGTGAAATTTTCAGAAGTAATAGCCGTCTTCATGGAGAGCACCATAAGTATTTGGAAATATTTCTTCTTTGAGAGGCAATATGTTTTGATAAGACAGTTTATATACCTTGGTTTAATATCATGATGAAAATGTAAAGAACTCCTTTGAATTTACAAAGCCAAAAAAAAGAAAATAGGGACAAAAGCTTGAATAGTTTGACAGTTTGCATACTGCCTCTTAACGAAGAGTGCCTGTTTTCAAGTTCTGTTGGCATTTGCTGCTGATTTTTATTGCGTTGTTTATGTGAAGGACTTGTAATAAATGAGTTTTTCTCTATGACCAGGGGCCAAACACATTGGTGGTTGTACAGGTACATTCTCTGATCAGTCTTATGCTTTCACCATAGATTTGCAGAAACAAAGTATTGCTATTCTGTGTTTTTTCCTTGAAAATAATGATTTGACTTCATTCCCAAGTTTATAACCTATTACAACATTTTCGGCCTTGTGAAGAACTCTAGTTATTAAGTATCTTCCCGGACTGTTTGTTGAGTGTTAACAGCAGGCTCTTCTTGCTTACTGTAAAAAATGAGTGGTTGGTAGTGTATGTCCTACCTACAGAAGTTGTGCTGAATTAATGAAGAAAAAGCTTTATAGCTGATGAACACTAGAGTACCTTTTCTAGTTCAATTATCTAGACATTCTTTGCAATCTTGCAATTAACTCTAACTACTGTTGAATAATTATTGGAACATGAAAAAACTTGTCGGAGGAGTTGGATTACTGTTGTTTTTTTTCTTCTTTGGGTACAGATACTATTAAGCTGTATCGGAAAGGAGAACTTGAACCTTTGCTATCGGAAGCTAATGCTGGAAAAACAGAGAGCTAGTCCCCCTTGAGCTATCCATGCCAAAGCGATCCTATCTCATGCTCTCCTTGTACGCATTATTCTTTCAGATCTCTTTGACATTCATATTTGATTATGTTGTTCCTTTACAAGTATATCTTGCTTCTGAATGTTAAACTCACTGTTGAAGCAGAAAATTTATGTTGATGTAACTTCACCTATGACCATGAGCTTATAGATGATTTTGCTTCGTCTCTCAAAGATTATAGTTTTATACTTATTAAATTTGACTAGCACTTACACTTATCTTACTTGAGAGAAACCAAATCAATTGAAAGCTAAACAAGAATTTGGTGTTCGTGTGTCAAATTTACTTTTTTTTTTATGAAGTAATATGTTTCATTAAGAAGGCATCAAGAAGATGCAAAGTTACAAGAGACATATGTGCTAAATAAACAAAAATATTACAGGAGAACAATGTTTGCCCCAAAACAAAGTCTCAATCTAGGACAAGAGAGCTAGTAAAGTCCAACAGGTGTCCTGTACTATTTACGGGGGACAACTTTGTCCAGCAAAAAAGATTGAGCAGGCATTTAGATTTGAGTAAGTGGTTTGGGGTTGAGGTGCCATCAAAGCATCTTCTATTCCTCTCGTTCCATCAACACCAAAAGATAGTTGCAGGGATCATAAGCCAGATCTTCTTGATGACCTTATCAACCTCCCAAAGACTCCAGCTCATGTGTGCCTCTCTCAGGCTCTGTGGCATGACCCAGCTTAGGCCAAAAATACAAAAGAACATGTTCCATAGGTCTGTGGCTACTGGGCAGTGTAGAAGTAGGTGATTAACTGTTTCCTGGTGTCTCCTGCAAAGGTAACATTTGTTGACCAACTGAAATCCCCTTCTGCATAGGTTATCTTGTGTTAAGCAGGCTTCGTGAAGGGCAATCCAGTTGAAGCATGTCACCTTCACAGGTAATTTTGCCCTCCATATCCGTTTCCAAGGCCATGAATGCAATACCTGATTCTGATTGTTAAGTTGCTTGTAGCAATCTTTAACAGTCAAATTTACTTATTTGAGACTTCAAATATGACAAGCTTGCCTAATATTATCGGCTATCATTTTCCAACGGGTAGTCACC